GTCTAATAACTAGTCAATCCTTGGCAAAGGATACTTATTCTTGATGGTCACCTTATTCCAACCTCTGTAGACAATGCAAAGTCGAAAGCATCCATCTTTCTTCTTTCACAAACAACACTGGTGCTCCCCATGGCGAGCTGCTTGGCCTGAATAAACCCCCTTTCTGTCAAAGTTCCTCTAACTGCTTCTTTAGTTTCAGCCATCTCTGCTGGTGCCAATCGATATGGAACTTTAGTAACGGGAGCCGTCCCTGGTTCTACTTCTATGGTGAAGTCCACTCCTCTCCTTGGCGGCGATCCAGTCAATGGCTCAAATACATCCGCGTATTCACTTGCCACGGGTATCTCTTCGACGCTTTTAGCTGCTCCCTCTCCTATCATAGAGATAGTCACCAAGAATACTTCACATCCTTTTTCTATGAGATTCTCTGCATGAATCATTGAAATGGTTGGCACTCATGTGTCAATTTTCACTCCTTGGAAAACCAACTGACCTCCTTGCTGCGGAATATAAGCCTTCGATTTCCGACAGTTTAGAACAACTCCATAGTGCTTCAGCCAATCCATTCCAAGGATAACATCGTAGTGATCCAACTTCATTTCCACTAGGGTCCATGGAAATCCTGCACCTTCTAGCAAAATAGGTACATCTTCATGCACACCAATGGTCTACACCTGCTCATCTCCGGCAGTCTTAACTACTTTAGCTCTTGGAATAAACTTTCCAGATAAGATTCAACACTGGGTCAACCTCGAGCTCACAAAGCTATGAGTGGCTCCAGTGTCGAACAAGGTATATGCAATTGCCCCCCTACAGAGCCCGATCCTACATGATTTATACTTATGTCTAGTCATGCATTTCCATTCTACATTCCTATTCACAAGCAACATATACAATCACTCAAACATTTACTTACCAGAGATCGGTGCTGCTCCTTCAGAGTCTCCAATGGCGAAAACGCAAAGTCCAACAACCTGTCTCTTAGCTGGTTGCGATGGGAGCATCCCAGGTGCTGCTCTCACCTCCTGGTTACTCAAATATGCCCTGTAATCCTTCAGGGTGTGTCAAAACCCTCCGCAGCGCTGTCACTTACCATGCTTTGCGATTGCTGGGCAATCCTTCTCTATGTGGCCTAAACTACCACAACTGTAGCACTTAACCACACCACACCTTCCCATGTGCATCTTCCCACAACGCTGACATTTTTGATCTCTCACAATTGTTTCCGAAGCTACCATGTCATCCCAAGTCCTCTTTGGTGCTTTTGGAACACGGGATGCTCGAGCTTGAGCTTGCCTGGCTCTCCTCAGCTCCTCGAGAATGGCTTCCTGAATGGCATCTGTCTCCAAAAGCTCCACCAGAGTCGGGTACCTCCTGAATGAACATCTTCTCTTCAACTCCAACTTTAAACCCTTCATGAATTGGCGGACCAAGTCAGCCTGCGTGAAGTGCTTCCTGGAGAATCTCCTCAACCTGTTGAACTCCTCCTTGTACTCCCTCATAAAGAGGTTTTCCTGACGCAGGTCTTCGAAGGCACTCTCCATCTGATCCAAGGTTTCGGGCGAAAAGTACTCTCCAACAAATGTTTCCTTGAAATCATTGTAAGTCAACTCATAGCGATCCTGAGTTGCTTCCACCACACATTCCCACCATATCAGCACCTTTTCCTTCAGGTATTGAACAGCTAAGTCCTTCCGATAGCCTTCCCATGGCATCAAAATTCCTCTCCATTCTTTTCCTATAGTTATCTGCAGACATTGGATCAGATCTTCCACCAAAAGCTTCCATCCTCATATCCGTCATGTGTCTCATGGCCTCGTAATACGTTAGACCAAACAAATTAACAGGCATAGGAGGCGGAGGCACATGCTGCTGCTGAACAAACGCCAGTGGCGGCATATTCTGAAGCTGAACAAACACTGGCGGCGGCACATGCTGCTGCTGCGCATTTACACCTAGCCCGAGGTTCAAGTGGCCATACATCTTCTGATAACGGCGCAACTCCTCCAAGACTGCAGCATGGGTTGCGACTGGCACTTGAACATGCACATTTCTAGCAGGATTTCCTTCTTGTGGGTTTGCTGGGGCTGGTGGCGGGTTGCGCTGCTGGTCGACTGGAACTCGGTTCAAACTTCCTGTCGTGTCAGTGGTGTCCTCATCCCCACTTGAACGACGAGCTTGGGACCTGATGCGCACATTCCTTGCTTTGGAGGTATCTACATTGCACAACAACAAAAAAAACAAGTAAGTCAGTCTGGTCCCGTGAAGACTGAACTTCTGGCAATTAAAAATAAAACAACAATAACTAGAGAGGCCAATCTAGGTGGTAGTTTTAAAAAAAAAAACTTTGAAAATTTTGAAAACTTTGAAAATCTGATTCTCAATCCTACTTTTCTAGACTTAGCTCTCTCTCTATTCTTAACTCGAACCTAGGCTCTGATACCAACTTGTAACACCCCGATCCTGGGTTCCAAAGAAAACCAGACTAAACCGGCAAACTGAGACTAAGAATTCCTGAATATCTCTTTATTTCTTATTCCAACCAAACCAACCAAGTCTTACAATAAAAAAAAAACTTAAATAAATCTGAAATAGGTAAACAAAAATATTTGTCTTAAAAGAAAATACAAAATACTGTAGTTATTAAAAAGAATAAAATCTTTCTCCATTTCTGAAGGCACACTACATTAGAGCTACTCGTCTAGTTCCTCCCAAACATCATCACATTCACATTCATCAGACTCACCTGCAAATATGGAGTTAAAGGAGAAGGATGAGTAATTTGGGGAATTACTCAGTAAGAACCAAACCAGACACTCTTTCTACTCAATCATTTTCCACCAATATGACAAAGATAAATCCAACAAGTAACAAACAAACACTCAGAAGTGCACAAGCAACTAGCAAAGAGGCATCTCCAACCAGCGGTCACACAGACAGTACTATACCAAGCCACAAAGACAGGCTATACATTGCCAGGTCACACAGACAGGTTCTACATTTTCAGGTCACACAGATAGGCTCTACATTGCCAGGTCACACAGACAGGCTATGCCAGGTCACAAAAACAGGCACGGTGGTTCGTCTAACCACTTGACAATGAATTATTGCCACGGTCACACAGACGGCACATGATCCAGCAACCAAATATGTACCCTGACACACCTCAACCAAGACGAACACCTGATCTAGCTATATCTACCAAGCACTAACCACACAACAGGGTGAACAATCAAGTTTGCTGGTTCTTTCCCTGATGAGAGTCTTGATTCATATTATTTATATATATACATGGATCTATCTAGATGCGCAGGAAAACATCTTAGGCTTATCAGATCTAGACTTTCCACACCAGGAGAAGACAAAATAATAAAAAGAAGAGCCTAGATCTAATCTTCATCTTAGCAAAATGCAGATCTGATTATGGAGAGCTGGTGGCAAGAGAATCAAGGAGCTTCTGGAAAGGAGGAGGCTGGCAAAGGCTTCTTCTTCTCGCGGCTGGCAACGATGGCGGTGGCAGGGCTCGGTGGCGGCGACTGGTTCTCGGTGATGGCTGGATCTCTTCTCTCTCTCTCTCTCTCTCTCTCTCTCCTTCTCTCTCTTTTCTATGGTGGCTAGGGCTTTTAGAATGAAAATGAGGCTCTTTTTCATTTAGCTCTTTATTTATATAAGAGTTGCTAGAGTGGACCTAAATTTGTCGAGCCTCTTGTAAATAGGCAGGGCTTGGGATGTTACAAAAGCATTGAAGGATATAAGATTGCAGTGTAGCCACATGTGTCGAAAATCTTTTGCTTAAGAAATACTATATGTTTAAAAGGCAAGCTCATGCATTTGTATAAGAAAATCGTTGTAAGTCATAGGTGTCCTACTATCGATATAACGAAACTGACTATAAGAATACAAAAAGAAAGACAAAAAAGATGTTATTGGCTCTCCCTATCATGGATTCTCAATGCAAGCATACACATATTACAAAATGAAGATTTATGGAAATACGTACGTGTTGTACGTATTTATAGTAACATAACAATCAAGTGGTTGGTAAGTGCGGGTTTGATGCCATTTATGGCAGTTTTGATGATAAAAGAGTACAATAGCTCTGTGATGTGTAGCAGTGTAAAAATATATATTCCCATTTGTAGAGATGGTGACATTTTGACATCCACCAGATTTAGTTTGGTAAATGCTATGACATTTTTCTCAAGCCAGAACCAAAAGTAGATTAAATTAATAATAATAATTTCAACATTTGTGAAAGACTTTCTTCATAGAAAACTTTTGTTAGAAATTTAGTTATTTGATTTCTCTTTTTATCGTCTAAGAACATCGCACAATAATGTAAGTAGATTTTTGTCTCGAAGTTATATGATTTTCTCTATTATCATGCTGCCTAACATATTGGAGAAAGTTTATCTTTCTAATAATATCTCAAAAAAGCTACAAAGACACTGGTAGTGAATTAGAACACGTAATGAAGGTATATAGTAATAATTAATCCTCCTAAACTACACGTGATATTACAAAAAATGTTCTAAAAAATATTAATTTCCGATAAAATCGACAAAATAATCTAAACTATAACGTGAATAATATGTTGCTGACTTGCTAGCAACCCCAAAAGAAAAAAAAATACATGTTAATTACAAAAGGAATATATTAATACTGTACAAAAGTATATAACAATTTATTTATTTATTATGGTATAAAAACAAATTTTGATCCCAGATAAGACAAACAAATCTACCCACTGATCTATGAAAATTCACAAATTATTAAACAAACATTGAAAATAGAAATAATAAAACATTACTATAATTAAAAAAAAAAAACAATGGTAGAGAACTAGAGATATTTAGAACTGTAAAGAGGACGTTGGGAGGAAGACCGTTGACGAAGTCAAAATCGAACATCAACCGTCGATTTGAGGCGGCTCTATTCTCAACCACACGATCTTCCCATCTTTCTGTGTTCTTCTCCATCGTCTCCCCTTCTTCTTCCTCGCAATTACCGCGAAAACTCATCTCCTCATTTCACTCAGTCTCTCAGCTGACTTATTGTACATACTTATTATATAAACGATACGAAGAAGACTACTAAAAACCTCAAAAGCAACAAGAAGTGAAAAGCTTGACTTGTTCTTCACACGCTCATCGATTCACAAAGAGATAGAGAGAGAGAGATATGAACGCCGGCGGCCAATTCACAGATTTTCCGGCGGTGCCGACTCACGGAGGACAGTTCATAAGCTACGATATCTTCGGTAGTTTATTCGAAATCACATCCAAGTATCGTCCTCCGATTATCCCAATCGGTCGAGGCGCTTACGGAATCGTTTGGTATGTTCGCTGATTTTCTTTATTTTCCCCTTTTTTGTTCTTATTTTCTGGAGATCGGAGTTTTTGATTTTTGCTATTGGATTTGTGAAGCTCTGTGTTGGATTCGGAGACGAACGAGCTCGTGGCGATGAAGAAGATAGCGAACGCGTTTGATAATCACATGGATGCAAAGCGTACACTTCGCGAGATCAAGCTTCTTCGTCATCTAGATCATGAAAACGTTAGTATCTTCTGAAATTATCTGCAGAAATTAGATGATTGATGAACGAAAAAATCCTGATTAGGGTTTTTTATTTTATATACAGATTATTGCTATAAGAGATGTGGTTCCTCCACCACTAAGAAGACAGTTCAGTGATGTTTATATAGCAACTGAGTTAATGGACACTGATCTTCATCAAATCATCAGATCTAACCAGAGTTTGTCAGAGGAACATTGTCAGGTACCAAAAACACTGTTTTTTGTTTCAGGATTTGACATTAGTTTCCAAGTTTAGAAGAAGAAACTGACATGAATCTTCTTGAAACAGTACTTCTTGTACCAGCTTCTTCGAGGGCTCAAGTACATCCACTCGGCTAACGTTATTCACAGAGACCTAAAGCCGAGCAATCTTCTGCTTAACGCCAACTGCGACTTAAAGATCTGCGATTTCGGACTCGCTAGACCGACTTCAGAGAACGAGTTTATGACCGAGTATGTTGTCACGAGATGGTATAGAGCTCCTGAGCTTCTGTTGAACTCATCAGACTACACAGCTGCTATAGATGTTTGGTCTGTTGGTTGTATCTTTATGGAGCTCATGAACAGGAAGCCTTTGTTCCCTGGTAAAGACCATGTCCACCAAATGCGCTTATTGACAGAGGTAAGAAGATTAGATTCAAGATTCAAGATTCAAGATTCAGCCTTTTCTTTTGGGAATATGTGATGAATGTTTGTGTATGAATCTTGCAGTTACTTGGCACACCGACGGATTCTGATCTCGGGTGTACTCACAACGAGGACGCGAAAAGATACATCAGGCAACTTCCCAACTTTCCTCGCCAGCCATTAGCAAAAGTTTTCTCTCATGTTAACCCATTGGCTGTAGATTTAGTTGATAGAATGTTGACGTTTAATCCCAACAGAAGAATCACTGGTAAGTATTACATATACGTATTACATGCTCTCTGTTAGTTTCTTATCACAATCATGTTTTGAAGTTGTCTTCTTTTGTTTCTGTGTGCAGTTGAAGAAGCTCTTAATCACCAGTACCTTGCCAAATTGCACGACCCAAACGATGAGCCAATATGTGAAAAGCCATTCTCGTTTGAGTTTGAACAACAGCCTCTAGATGAGGAACAGATAAAAGAGATGATCTACAAGGAAGCTATATCACTCAATCCAACATATGCTTAGAAGAGCAGCAACTCCGTGAATCGCTGCTTTGTATCTTTGCTTGTTCTTTTATTCATGTACTTCTATGTATGTAAACTTGTAATCCTATTTGTTTGTTCGTGTTTTGTTACTGCTAGTGATTGAATGTAGCTCATATGTAAAGTATCCCAGCTTTAAAAGTAACTTTTTTTACTTCATATACTTGTCTATTCTAGTAAGCAAACAGAAGAAAGAATATAGTTTTGTAATGTACTCATCTAGCCAGGAGTTTCCTGATTCTAAGAAGTAGTGGGAGCCATTAAAGAGCTAAAACCAGAGTCAAAGCTTTTCGCATTATTGAAAATTTTGTGGGCTTCGCTCTAGGTAGCTACTTCCATTATTGGAGTACATTTGGTCAAATCATTGGCAATAATTTTGGAAAATGGGTCTTTCTTTAGTATAATATCATTTACCGGATAATTTAGAGTTGACTTATTGGACAATATGTTTGTCTTCACACAGGCTGTTCGAAGCTGACAGTGATGGCTCAACCCATATCAAAGGAAACGCTTTGTGTTTTTAGTCTTTCTTAACGTTTCTTCATGGACGCTGCTGCTCGTGGAGAATAAAATAAAGTGACCATCGAAAGTCATTATCTTGAAACATTTCTCGTTGTTGTATCATTGCTTTATATATCTCTCAGAACTTGAGGCTATTGTTGACCCCCCAAAAAAAAAAAGAGTAAAAGATCTCTACCTTGATTTTGAGACATGGCTGGTTCAGTTTTCGGCGATGCAGAAACACCACAATTGTCAGAAGAATCAAGAACCAAGCGCCGAGGTGGAGGTTGGATCACCTTTCCGTTTATGATAGGTGAGAAATTCTGTTTCTCTGTTTTCATCTTTCTCATAACCACTAGAGCTTAGAACATGAGAAGCTTATATCTATCTTTCTATGGTGCAGCTACGTTGTTAGGCCTAACAGTAGCTGCTTGGGGTTGGTTACTTAACTTGATCGTCTACCTCATTGAGGAATTCAACGTGAAGAGCATAGCAGCAGCTCAGATTTCCAACATTGTTAGTGGTTGTATCTGTATGATTCCAGCCATTGGAGCCATTGCTTCTGATTCTTTCTTTGGAACCATCCCTGTCATCTCAGTTTCAGCTTTCATTTCTCTTATGGTAAAGTAAAAAAAAAAACTCTGCTCTCAATAGTTTTCATTGATTCCTCTCTGAAGCAGAAACTCACCTACTTCTACTCCTTGGCCAGGGCGTAGCTCTGCTGACTCTAACCGCTGCGCTTGACTCTTTAAGACCCAAACCATGTGAGACAGGTTCAAGCCTCTGCCAGTCATCTTCAAAGATCCAGCTCGGTGTCCTTTACACGGCCATAACTCTAGCCTCTATAGGAACAGGTGGAACACGGTTCACTTTAGCAACCGCTGGTGCGAACCAGTACGAAAAAACTAAAGACCAGGGAAGCTTCTTCAACTGGTTTTTCTTCACAACGTACCTAGCCGGAGCTATAAGTGCAACAGCCATTGTCTACTCTGAAGACAACATAAGCTGGACCTTCGGGTTTGGTCTTTGCGTAGCTGCTAATCTCTTCAGCTTTGTGGTTTTCATCTTGGGGAAAAGATTCTACAAGCATGACAAGCCCTTAGGAAGTCCCTTCACAAGTCTACTTTGCGTCATCGTCGCTGCAATACTCAAAAGAAAAGCTGTGGTTTCCACCAACGATAAAGACTATCATAACGAATCTACAGAGATTCCCACAAAGAGTTTGAGGTAGAAAAACAGCTTGAGAAACCGTAGTTTCATAGTTAAACCGTTCTAATGAGTTTACTCTCAAATATCGCAGGTTCTTTAACCGTGCAGCGATGAAACAAGAAGACGAAGTTAAACAAGATGGCACAATTCGCAACCCATGGAGACTATGCAGCGTTCAACAAGTGGAAGATTTCAAAGCAGTCATAAGAATCATCCCTCTTGCGTTAGCCACAATATTCTTGAGCACTCCGATCGCGATGCAGCTAAGCTTAACAGTTCTTCAAGGTCTGGTAATGGACCGTAGGCTTGGTCCTAATTTCAAAATTCCTGCAGGCTCTCTCCAAGTCATTACACTTCTCTCCACTTGCCTATTTATCGTAGTCAACGATCGGTTTCTTTACCCATTTTACCAAAAGCTAACGGGAAAGTTCCTCACGCCGCTCCAACGTGTAGGGATAGGCCATGTTTTCAACATTCTAAGCATGGCCTTGACTGCCATTGTCGAAGCAAAGCGATTGAAGATAGTAGAGAACGGTCATTTTCTCGAGTCATCATCTATTGCTGACATGTCTGTGTTATGGCTATTTCCTCCTCTAGTCATTGTTGGAATCGGTAAGGAATTTGATTTTCAGACAAAATCTATCAGTTTTGAATCAAAAATGATCATGTTCTTGGTTTTTGTCTTTTGCTTGCAGGAGAGGCTTTCCATTTCCCAGGGAATGTAGCTCTTTGCTATCAAGAATTCCCGGAGTCTATGAGGAGCACAGCGACATCGATTACTTCGGTGGTCATTGGGATTTGCTTCTACACAAGCACTGCTTTGATTGATCTGATTCAGAGGACCACTGAGTGGTTACCAGATGATATTAACCACGGAAGAGTTGACAATGTGTACTGGGTTTTAGTCATAGGAGGAGTCTTGAATCTTGGCTATTTTCTTGTGTGTTCTTGGGTTTATAGATACAGAAACCTCAAGGATGATGATCATGAGCAAGATGTTGCTGTCTCTCACTCTACTACTTTGTCCTCATGATCTTATAAGCTAAGAAAGAGAGAGAGAAAGAATGTACTCTTTGTTGTTATTTTCTACTGTAGCCATTAAAATTTGTTTCTCTTTTATTTCACTTCCTCATAAAACTATTTCTCTCTGCAACAGCCTCAATTTTGATGGTCATTAAACATTACCATCATTTAGATTTTAGCCCCACAAGTCACTCTCAAAAAAGATTTTTTTCAGATTCTAAAAGCATGTTTATCTGTGCATTTTAGACTAGGATTATTGCAGTCTCTTATATGGATTTCTTAAACCTTTTAACAATTAAAAAAAATAGAGAAAACCCACAAAAAACAAAGAACGTTTCTTATTCTGCATTTTAAGAGCATCTTTAACGGGGTATATAGAGGGTATTTAACAGAAATTTATTAATTTAAAAATGATGCACCATTTCTTATTTGGCCGAGACGTCTCCTATTTGGGGAAGTTTTTAATTGTTTCTACCCACATGTGGCAGTTTATAATTTGTCAGACAAAAAATTGTTCCTTTCTCTTTTTTCTTCTTCTCTCACCAATTTCTCTCTCGTTCTTTTTTTTTTTTTATATATTCTTCAAATTTAATAATAAAAAATCAATGAAAAGCCTGTTGAGCGTTTTAACTTTAAAAATGCTCTAAGGAACGTTTTTTGTGAACAGGTGTCAAAACAATTTTAAAATAATAATAAAAAAACCAAAAAGAGTATTTAGCAATAATCATGCTCTTAGTAGGTTTTTTAACAAATTTGGGCCAAAAAATAAATGAAAAATGGGTTAATACGCGAGAAACGTCTCTTAACCGCCACGTGTTGAGTCGTAACTGGCTTGTGAAATCGCGACCCAATTTTTTTTTCTTTCTCTATTCTTTTTCTTCTTCGACGAAACCTCTTCCTTCTCCCAATCGCCTTCACGGATTCCGTTTCCGATCAAAGATCGAATTCTGTCAATGAATCCAGCCGTCATATCCGACTCGAATAGAAACTAAACCCGGTCCGTACGCCTAGTTCCAGATCTTTTCTTCCTCGAGCAACAGTGGACCGAGTCCGAGTCTTTTGGTAAGACATGGCCACTTCTCTGGCAGCTCACATTCGTCCTTTCACATGTTTGGCCGCGTCTCAGCCGTCGCGGCTGGCGCCTCATCCGGCGTACCTCGTGCATTGGATCAAGAGAGAAGGCGGCTTCGTTCACCACGCCGTCAAGAGATAAACACTCACCGCTTTGGCCCGTCTGAGTTCCCGGTGAGTGTTTATCTCTTGCTCTTGTTCAATGCTCCCTACAAAATAGTCTTGATTACTGGTTAGTTTAGAGAATACTGATTTCAAAAACAAATGATTATCTCTCGAGATTCTACTTTACATTTTGGTTTTGTATCTACTTGAATCTAAAGCTTAGCTCATAGAATTCTGTAGAATCAAGTTTCTAAAATTTTGGTGTATTAATAATCGTTTACTGGCTGAGAAAATGCTGGAGAAATTTGACAGAAGAATTGTGGGCAATGAAACTGGGATTGAGACTATTGCAAGAGAGAGCCAATGGAGATTCTTTCTGGTGGCCATACATTAGCAATTTCCCGGAAACTTATTCCGTTCCAATATTCTTTCCCGGAGAAGATATAAAGAACTTGCAATATGATCCTCTTCTCCACCAGGTTAGATAGACAAAACTGCTGAACCTAATCGAGTTTGAGTCCCACTCTTTAGCAATTCCATTATATGATTTGCGGCTTTGTTGCCTTCTTTGGGACCAAGTCAATAAAAGATGCCGTTTTCTTCTTGAGTTTGAGCAAGAGATTAGGAGTACTCTTGAAGATGTTAAGGCAAGTGATCATCCTTTCAGCAGTCAAGATGTCAGCTGTTTCGACTAGAGCTTTTCGCTTACATGGTGATAAAAAGCTTCAAGGTGGATCTTCTGATGATGTTCCCATGATGCTTCCTCTGATGGATATGTGCAACCACAGCTTCAAACCAAATGCACGGATCATTCAAGAACAGAACGGAGCTGACTCGAACACCCTAGTTAAGGTTTGCGTCTTTGATCTCTGTTTTTTTTGTTTTGACGTGGTTTTTGTTTAAATGGACGGTTACTTTCTTCGTGCATCAGGTTGTTGCAGAGGCTGAAGCCAAAGAAAATGATCCCTTGCTTCTCATTTATGTTCTGATAAGTTTGGGTTGTTATCAAATATAAAACTGTTGTAACATTGTTATTTTCAAATAAAAAACTTCTTTTACATAATTTTTTTTTTAAAAAAAAAACCCCATTTGAGTTTCTCCAGTACTTCCAAAAAATCAAGATTTCTTAATGGATCTTTTAACTTAACATTATTAGTTTAATAATCCCTAAAAAATACAAATGGATTTCTCTGATAAACATGGTCTAAGAATTAACATGAAAGGTTATCCAAAGTTCTTTATCATAACCATA